GATGGAGGAGAGATGGCAGCCTGGGTGCTAATCGGGCTTTATCATGCCAGTGCGCTTGTGTTTCAGCCAAGTCCTGACACTCTCTGAGCTCAGCTTCCTTATCTATCAAACAGGGTTAACACCATCCATCTCTCAAAGGGAGAGCACATGAGAGTGTGCACACAGCAAGTACTCAATAGGTGCACTTGCTTCCCTGGCATAGAAGGGCTTTGGGGGATAGGAGGAGACAGCCCTTTCTTTTGGTTTCTTCTGAAGAGAGATTCTCTGAGCCCTAGGCACAGCGCTATGTCACTAGGGACAAGTGGTTTCTATAAATACACAGCCAAGTTTTTTTGGCTTCTCATCTCTCATCGTGGCCTCCAAGATTTTAGTCACTGGAGCCCCGGAGACCTCCTGGCTTTTCCTTCTACCATCTTCCTGTCACTTGCTTGCTCGCTCCAGCCACACTGGCCTCACATGAACCCTGGACACATAAAGCTTGGTCCCAACTCATGACCTGTGCTCTTTCCTCTGTCAGGAGCTCTTTTCCCCTCAAGATCACTGAATCTTTAAACTTCTGATTATTCAATCCAAGTTAAACCCACTCATCCACCTAGCCAGCACTCTCATCACACCCCAAATTAAAACAAGATACATACATACACACATCTACTTTTTAACTTATCATATTGACATTGATTTAAAAGTATGATAATACCCACAGTTGGCCGGGGTTTGGGGAAACATGTAGCATTCATAAACTGTTGGTGGGAATGTAAATTAGTACAACCTCCTGGAGGGCAATTTGGCAATATACATCAAAAGCCTTCAACATGTGCAAACCCTTTGGTTCAGCAATTCAACTTCTAGACATTTATACTAAGGAGATAATCATGGACGTAAGCCTAGATTTATTCCCAGGATGTTGACTGCAGGGTGAAAAATTGTCAATATAAATACTATAACTCGGAACCTGGTTAAATAAAATATATATGATAAAATACCATGTAGCGATTGCATCCTATAAGAATTCTTAATGATGTGGAAATAATCTTGTGATACATTGAGTGAAAAATATCAGCTATAAAATATGTCCACTGTAATCTTAGTTTTAGGCTAAAAAATATAGAAATAAACTTGTGCCTAAAAAAATGCTGGAAGAGCAAACACCAAAATACTGACAGGACTTGTCTGTGGGTGGTAGGATCATGGATGACTGCTTTTTCCTTTTTTGTGCTCTTCTCTATTTTGGTAAGATCTTATAATAAACATGCATCTATTGTCATCAGCAGAGAGCAATTAATGAACCCTTGCAGCAGAAAGGATGGGCCAGCTTCTGTGCAACATTGCCCTGGATGTGGGACCCTGGGCCCTTGTTAGTGCACACCTTACCTCACAGATGTGAGTGGCTCCTATGTCCCCAACCCCCCATCAGGTCCACATATAGAACTGGTTTCAGCTGGTCTCAATCGGGGGAGGGGCCAGCTTGGATTACTCTAGAAATGCAGCCAACACCATCTCTACCATGATCTCCTGAAGACTCTTTTTCTTTTGGTTAATCCTCACCTGACGATATTTTCCCATTGATTTTTAGAGAGAGTGGAAGGGAGGGAGGAAGGGAGAGAGACATATCAATTGGTTGCCTCCAGCATGACCCTGACCAGGTCCCAGGATTGACCTGCAGCCCAGGTACATGCCCTTGATTGGAATCGAACCTGAGACCCTTTGGTCCTTGGGCCAGAGCTCCTACCGCTGAGCCAAAATGGCCAGGGCTAAAGACTTTTCTTGCTCTCACTTCCTCTTAGGAAGTGATATGTTTTAGCCACAAACAAAATCCTCCCTGAGGCTGGTTTTGAAGTTTACTAAGTAAACCCTTTTTCTGCAACTGATGGTTCTCAAAGTTATTTTCTTCCAACTCTGCCAGTGTATGTTGGTGGATCACAATGATTTCCCAAGCTCATCCTTCCTCCCCAGTGAAGAGAGATAGTGACATTATTGAGGAGGCTTGCCTGCATTAACCACTGACCCTCAGCTCTGTGGGTGTAATCTTCCCATGTTCCGAGAGGCCCAGCAGCTTGCCCGAGTGTGCACGACTCAGAGCTGACTTGGGTCAGAGAGACGAGACTCTCATGTGATACTTAGTACATGAGATGCCTCTGAGGCAACTCCGACCCCTCCAGCTGGAGAAGGTGCCCCAACTTCTGATGAATACATGGAGAGGTCTGTAAACAGACCCCAGGCTGGGAGCCAGGTCCTTCACTGGCCAAGAGAGATAGATTTCAGCTCAAAACACGTGACCCCTTGAGTTTCCTACCCACCCCCTGCCCACAAGGACCACCTTTCTCTCCTGTGGAGGAGCCAGGAGGAGTGCTGTCACCATCCTGTGGCCCTCGTGGAAGGGCCAACCCTTGTGTTAGTGCTGAGATGAGGGTGCTTGGAGGCACACAGCTCCACACGCAGGCTGGCTCCTGGGCTGGAGACACAAACGCCCTGAGCCCAGCAGTGAGCAGAGCCAGCCCTGCCAGGGAAAAGGCCCAGATTGGTGTGGAACCAGTGGTGGGCCTGCAAACTGGGGCTGGGCAACCTCAGGAAGAGGAATGATCCAGCCCTGAGGCAATCACAGGTGTGACACTGGCTTCCCCTCACCTACTGCCTGGCCAGGACTGCTCATGGCTTCCCAGTGGTGAGGAGCTGAAGGGACCAAGGGCACTGACCAGAGCTGCGTGCAAATAGGCAACGAAGAAGGCTTGCTGCGCCCTAACTTGCCTCCTTTCCAGAAAGCTCCTTACTCACACCAGATGGACACACGGCATGAACATCCGTCCCTCGGCCTCCCAACTCTCACATTCAGAGCCTCATCCCTGCCCAGGCTGGGCACCAAGCATCTCACGTGCTAACCCCCCTCAGGCTAGATTCCCAACAGCCCTGTGATGCCCCATGACCTGGCCACTGTCTGCTGTGACCTAAAATGTCCGGGTACTCCAGCAGTGACCACACTTCACCTGAACCCCAGCTTCCCTCTTCTCAGGGAAGGAAATGGAGACTTAAGGCAGCCAAGTGACTCAATCCCTGGATTCAACCCTAGGCTGCCTAACTTCACACTTGGACTCCTGCCTGTTGCCCACAGAGCCCGCACTTTCCTCAGCCAACGTCCTCTCTGGCCAGGGAGAAAGGAGTCCTGAGTCACCATGTGCTCAGAGAAGTCAACGGGGGAAGAGGGAAGAAACCCCTCACCAGCCAACCAACCACCACCCTTGGCCCTTTTTATTTTTTATTTTTAACCTGCGGCCCTTTGGACATGCGCATCTGCAGTCAAGAGTAACCTAAAGTGTAAAACTAGCTAGGTCATCTGGAGGGGTTCTGTCAGAAAGTTTCAGTCCTCCTGAGCTGGGGGAGTGAATGGTCCCAAGACATGAGGTTGAACTATTCCAGCAAAAGCCTGTGGTTCTGCCCCGATGGGCATGCCTCAGTGGTTAGAGTGTCAGCCCACACTGGAGGGTCTTGGGTTTGATTCCAGTCAAGGGCATGTACCTGGGTTGCAGGTCACATACCTGGGTTGCAGGTTCCATCCCTGGTCCTGGTCAGGGTGCGTGGAGGAAGCAATCAATCAATGTGTCTCTCACATTGATGTTTCTCTCTTGCTCCCCCCCCCCACCCTGCTTCCACTCTTTCTAAAAAATCAATGGAAAAAATTAATATCAACAACAAAAAAGCCTGTGGTTCCAAGATTCTAGCTGACATGTAGGATCCTGACTCCTTCCTAGTCAGGGAAAGCTCAGGGGAGGCGCTGGGTCTGGTCCCTAGGGTGTGCCCTCGGGATGATGGCAGACCTGGCTGGTACTTCACAAGAAACAGGATGTTTTTGGTCTGGGAGACCAGGCTGCCCACCGCTGGAGGAGCTGTCCCGACTGTTCCAGAGACCACAAACTACTCTGAGCCTAGCGTGGGCAGCTCTGGAAAGGAGATAAATGATCCCAAAGTCTCCACTGAGTCCCAGAGGACCTGGCTTGTGGTCCATCTTATGTAACTGTCACCTCCTCAGTTTCATTTAATCCCAACATCAATGCTGTGAGGGAGGCCTTCATCATCCCATTTCACAGAGCAGGAAATTGAAGCTCAGAGAGGGTGAGCACCTTCCCCAAGGTCACCCAGCGAGGAGGCACAGCATTGGAATTCAAGCCCAGGTTTTCCCGATGTTTGGTGCTACCCTCCACAGCCTCTCAAGAAGGTGGCTTCTGCAGGACTGGGGACCCCCACCTTGCCTTCATCACCAGCCTATCCTGAGTCTGGACAGATCTGGTCATTACATTAGAAAGGTCTCTGAATCAATCCACATTTCTCTCCCTGGGGCCCAGAACAAATACGTTCCCCAACATGATGGGCCTGCCACTCTCCTTCCACCAGGCTCGCCCCCATGCTCTGATGCGTCAGGACTCCTATGCAGGACTCCGCAGTGCCCGGCTGCCTTTCAACTTGCTTCTTTTTTTTTTTTTCAACTTGCTTCTTATGTGACCCTCACCCAGTCTGGACTGGGACACTGATTCCAATGTAAGCCAAGTTTTAGGTTTAATTGTGAAAGATCTGACAAGTGATGACACCACAAAGGCCAAACTGGAACCAACCAGTCTCCTATTCCCTATTGGTGATAGAACAGGGTGGGTGGGGACAGGGAGTTCTCTGTGTACTGGGAAGAGTGTGCTCCATAGCCAAGAGCTGGACCCTGAGCCCAGGGAGACAGACTGGCAGGAGGAACAGTGCTGTGTGGGCTTAGGACACCAAGGCAACTCCTTCTCAATGACCCTTTGCTCAGCTGGAACTGTAGACAGTTCCATCAGGCCAGCCCCACAGATCTATAGGTCCGTGGTATCTCACAGAACTAATGCTAACCCTCCACAGAAAGACCAGAGTCCCTGAAAGGCAGAGGAGGAGAGGAAAGCGCAGACAGCTAAATAAAGGCTCAGAGGAAGGATACTGGCTTGAGAGAAAAGGGCAAAGAGAATAAAAAATAAATGGCAAATTACCGGGTAGCCATCTCGTCCTGATTGCCCCTGTGGTGATTAATATGTCATTAATAATCAGACTTTCAGCAGGAAACCATATGGCAACACTTAGCTCTTAATCAGGGCCCTGCATAACTCCCCCTCAGTGTTCTATGGGTTTGCAGCAGAGGCTGCTGGTCAGTAACTGGTACCTTTGGGGGGAGACTCAGGGCTCTGGCGGGTCTGGGGCTGGAGCACCCATTTCCCCTCTCATTGGGTCAGTCTGCAGGGGCCACCAGGGCACACATTCATGTGAGTCCTCCCATGGCAGCCAGCACATATAGCAAGGACCACATGGGGACATGGGGTTTCCAAGGGCAGTGTCACAGCCACCATGGGAAATGCTCCTAAAATGCTGAGAGGCCTAGCAAGCAGACAAGGGTTTCCTGCCTGCTGCCACTGGATGGGTGAACTGACAAAAGCAGCTTTTGAAGCCAAATATATGGCAGGGGAGGCATTTACTGCTCCTGGATGCTTCTGTTCCCACATGCTCAGAGCACTGCCTGCCTGCCAGCATCTCACAGGTTGGCATGCATCTCAGGTTGCAGTTTCAGGATTCTGCATTTGTTTAATGCACTTAGTAGTTTAACAGTCAAGTTCAAAACCCCTGCTCCACATGCACTTCAGCGAGTTCACACAGGCTACCTCCGTGTGACAGCCAGGAATGACTCAACAGCAAGAAACTGCTCGTGGCCTGTAAATCTACACATTCTTGCTGGCTCGATTTCTGGCTCAGTGGGGTGCTACATGCATGGAGAAGCCTGGATTCTGAAGAAGGGTGCTGATGAAGAAATGAATCATGGCAAGTGTAAGTAAATAATAAAATAGCTCATCTGAAAGGAATTTCTTTAGAAGGTGCATTTTGACTCAAGCAGCCTCTCAGTGTGCTTCTTGAATGGATTCACTAGGATTTATCAGGCTCTGAAATCATGCTGAGATGGCTCAAAGGCAGGCTGGTCACGTTTCTTGGAGAAGAACGGGGTTTCCGGGCAGATGACCCCTTGCATTCAATGCTGCCACAGGCGCCAGCTCCTCCCGGAGACCTTTCTCAAACCCCACGCCCTCTTGAACAGCTTCACAACTCAGGGAGCCAAACGTATTTTGGCAAAGAAGAGAAACAGAGTCTGGAATCTAGTTACTAAGCCCAGCTCATTCCTGGTGTAACTGCTTGACTCTAGAGCCCTTTCTGCCAAAGCATGTCAGACAAAAACACTGAAACAGACCAACTGCCACAGTGCAGTTAGAAAATGTGGGTGTGGTGTTCACATTTCTGGGCACCTCTTGCAGCCAGGGATTGGGTGAGGAGCAGCCAGGCTCCTGCCAGCTCTCTTGTTAGGAAAATGATCACAGAATGTTTTAAGGGGCAGGTTAAGACTGTTGAGTTCTGTGCTTGCATTCATCTCCAAATTTTAAAAGATATGGTCCCTGTCTGGACTGAATTTTTTTTAAGGACACTCCTCTCTAAGTAAGTATTCTTTTCAAGAAGTGCTACAGAGAGAGAACAGAATGTCTTATCTTTCAGGAGCAGAGAGCATAGTCCAGGGCACTTACTGGAGGACCTGCAAAATACAAGCAGAGAGGCCACAGTCAGAATCAAAGGGAAAAGGGTCCCCACCCGCTGGCGGCCCTCCCGCTAACAGCTACTGGCCTCCACTCACACAAGGCTTTGATGCTGTCATGGACCCCAAAGCAAGTGGCAAGGCAGAGGAGAGCCTTTGCCCTTGATGGGGCTGGGGTGGACATGTCGGGGGTGATGACAATCTCGAACCTCTGGGTTAACATATTTATTTCAGGAGGCTGTTGCTGATCCCTGCTGGGGCCATCCGGGTTGGATTTTGGCCACCCAGATAGGAATCAGACCTTGTTCCTGCCTGAAGGACAGATTTTGGTGCTCAGTGGAGAGTCGGTTCATTTCTATTGAATGAGAAAGACTTGGGGAGAAAGCATTTGGGGCAGAGGAAAGAACAAGCATAAGGGCTCTGGGATGTGTGGGGCCGAGCAGACATGTGGGTGGTGCCTGAGGCCCAGCCCAGGATTAGGGGCACTGAGCCAGGGTGCACTGGGTACTTGAGAGGAGGAGTTTAGAAGCTCAGGAGCTGCTGCAGGAAAGGCTGGTGCAGCAAGCTGCAGCTTGTCTCCAGAGATGTGGACTCACAGAGAACACTCATGACACTGACAGGTGTCCCCTCCCTATGGTATGCAAAACACATTGCATATCCATGACTGCATTTGACCTCAACAATTTGTGAGAGAAATGATGAACACACCTATTTGACAGATGACAACAGAAAAAAGTGACTTGTCTAAGGCACAGAATTGGTTAGGTGTGGAGCTCATCGAGGAAGGTCTCTCAACACAAAACCCTACATACTTTCCGCTAAGCTATGTCTGCTCCCAGCAGGCCTGGGACCTCAGTCTGGAGAATGAAGCCTCACAGGGAGGCAAGTAATGGGATCCAGTGGAGAGTGCAACGGGCAAGATCTTGGACTCAGGATTTTCCTTGCAAGACAGGTATTTAAGAAAACACTTATGCAGGTGAAAGCACAGGACACAAGCAAGGCTGGGCCCACTCAGGACAGGAAGCTAGGTTGAGGGTAAGGAATGATTTCTGAGAGAGGAAGTGGGAAAGAGGAACATGGCAAAGATGGGAAAGCTCACAACACTCCAAAAGCTGGGCTTTGGAGGGCTGCAGGAGGAGAGGGCCTGGGAGAAGGCAGGGCCAGCAGAGCACTGGGCCTTGTCCCCACACCATGACCCGGGCAGGTGGATGGAGTGCAGTACTAAAGGATTGGGCATGGAGGAGTGATTTGAGGGGGCAGGACTGGGCAAGGGGACACGATGCAGCTGTCCCTGTGCAGCAATGGCAGCCTAAACTCGTGTTGGCAGTGGAGATGGAGAGAAATGAGTCAGAAAACACTTGTCAGTGAAGACAGACAGGACTTGATTTTCAAATTAATGGTGGAAGTATGGGTGGAGGGATGCATGGGGCATAGAAAAAGGAGAGAGGTGAGAAAAAGATTTTGACTTGAAAACTGATGTATGATGGTGCTAATACCCAAGAATGATAACATGGGGCTGCACATCCCCTCAGTGTAGACTAGGGGCGGGCAGGGTGTTAGTCATTTGGACAGCCATACAGCTGGCTTTTCACTTTCAGCCAAGGACCTTGCTCCCTGTTTTTACAAAGAAATGAAAAGCCCCTGGATGAACACACCATCAGCTTTCCGATGCCACACGCACACACCTGCCTGCACCTGTACTGCACCTGTGCCCAGCCCCCTCTCCAAGTCCCTCAGGTTCGGTCAGAGGAGCTGTCTCGCCTCCACTTTCCAAGGACCCTGCCACACCCACCATCCCTTTCTGTTTGTCACAGTCAAGCCTGCCTCTCAAGTAGATCCTTCTTGACAGCTCTGAAATGTGTTCCAATTTCTTTTATTTTATTTTATAATTAAAAATATTTTTTCCAGCCTGGCCGGTGTGGCTCAGTGAACTGAGAGGTCCCGGTTTGATTCCTGGTCAGGACAGATGCCCGGGTTGCCAGCTCAATCCCCTGTGGGGGTCATGCGGGAGGCAGCCGATTGATACTTCTCTCTCACATCGATGTTTCTTTTTCTCTCTCTCCCTTCCTCTTTCTCTAAAAAATCAATAAAAACATACTAAAAACTTTTTTTTCCAATTACAGTTGACATAAAATATATTAATTTCAGGGTACAACAGAGTGATTAGACATTTATATAATTTATGAACTGATCACCCCAATAAGTCTAGAACCCACCTGGCACCAAACATAGTTATAACATTGCTAACTCTATTCCCTATGCTATATTTTACATCCCCATGACTATTCTGTAACTACTAATTTGTACTTCTTAATTCCTTCACTTTTTTCGCCCAGCCCCCCCAAACCTCCTGCCATCTGGCAACCATCAATTTGTTCTCTGTATCTATATATTTTTCTCTGTTTAGTTTGTTTATTTTGGTTTTAAGATTTCATATGTAAGTGCAATGCTATAGTATTTATCTTTCTTTGACTAACATAATACCTTCTAGGTCCATATATGCTGTCACAAATGACAAGATTTCGTTCTTTTCTATGGCTGAGTAATATTCCATTGTACATATGTACTGCATCTTCTTCATTCACTTATCTATTGATGGACACTTGGGTTGCTTCCATATCTTGCTATTGTAAATAATGCTACAATGAACAAAAGGTGCAAATATCTTTTCAAATTAGTGTTTTGGATTTCTTTGGATAAATACCTAGCTGGGTCATACGTCAGTTCCATTTTTAATTTTTTGAGGCCCTCCATACTGTTTTCCATAGTGGTTGCACCAACTTACAATCCCATCTACAGTGCACAAGAGTTCCCTTTTCTCCACATCCTTAACATCAATTGTTGCTTATTGATTTACTGATGATAGCCATTCTGACAGGTGTGAAGTGTTATCTCATTGTGGTTTTGATTTGCATTTTCCCAATGATTAGTGACATTGAGTATCTTTTCACGTGTTTGTCGGCCATCTGTATGTCCTCTTCCAGTTCCTCTGATTGAAAACATCCTTTGCTCCCATACTCTCCTCGATTCCTGCTCAGCCCTCCTCTCACCTCACAGCCATGTTGCAGGAAAGAGATCCTCGGGAGGTGTGCGGTGTGTCTGAGCTCACTCCACTAGTGAGGGGGCAGTCCAGGCTGAAAACAATGCCATGGGACCCCAAACCCATGGCATCATTCACCATCCCCAGTGAGGTGGCAAGAGTGGAAGGGGCAGCATTCCAGATTGATTCTATCACTGGGGGATAGGCCCCATGTAGCCCATCCAATAGACTCCTAAACACACCAACCCACCCCCTTTCTCAGGCCCGACTGGCACCATATCACCAGGGCACCATTGCTTTGCAGGGGCACCACCATCACAGCCTCCTAACTGACACTTTCTTCTGGGCACCACAACTCCACCAGCCAAAGGGGCCTTTTGATCATGCCCACCCCTTACCAGGGTTTCCAATTGCACATGAATAACATCCAAACTCCTGCTATCCTGTGTGGGCCTGCTTTTCATCAGTGCCCCACACTTGGCCACCGCATTCCACCTGTCCCTCGTTTCCCAAGGGCCAGCTCTCTTAGGCCTCAGGACATTCACATCTACTGTGTTCCTGTGTTGGCAGGTAGCGGTTCGTCACTACCACCTCGAAAAGATTTCATAAGCTTGAAGTCTGAAGACAGCTCTTCACCCTTTGCCCCATTGATTTCTATGAACTCCTTGCTATTTCCTTCTCAGCATTAACCACAATCTTTAATGATTAAATATTTATTTGTTTGTTGTTTATTTTTATTTTATTTATTTATATTTTTGTTAATCCTCACCCAAGGATTTTTTCATTGATTTTTAGAGAGAGTTGTACAGGAGGGCGGGGAGGAGGAGAGAGAGAGAGATAGAGAGAGACATCGATGTGAGAGAGACACATTGGTTGGTTGTCTCCCGAACTCACTCCAACCAGAGCTGGGGATCAAACCTGCAACCCAGGTATGTGCCCTTGATTGGGAATTGAACCTGTGATCCTTCGGTTCGCAAGCTGACATTCTAACCACTGAGCCCAAACAGACAAGGCTGTGTGTTGTTTATTGTCTATTAGCCCCCTCAGCAAGGCAGCTCCCTGAGAGCTGGGACCCCATCTGCTCAGTTCCCACCATTCCCTGCTGCCTTGCACAGGGCCTGGCAGGCACATGCACTTAGTAAATATGAGCTGAATAGATGGGGGGCATCTGGCAGGCCATTGCCTTTTCTGAGCCCTCCACACCTGACTTCATGGTCTAGGGTTTGTGCTATGGCTGCTGTAGCCTTTGCAGACCGGATTTGTGCCCCGCAGCAAGCTGGGCACACAAGAGTGATGGATTGGGGGCGGGGGGGCTGGCTCAGGCTGTCCAGGGGTTCTTGCTTAGAAAGTGCGGCTGACTGGAGGGCCCCCACCCAACCATGTGGTGGTCCCCCCACGGCCCAGCTCATTCCGCACACAGCTTTCAAACATGTGCTCCAGTCACTGGCTGGATTTACTTTGCTTTCAGGAATGTGAGAGCAATTAAATAAGAACCAGATGACTTGGGAAATGAATGAAATGAATCTGAGAGAATAGAGGGGTCAATGGCTCTATGGCCCCTTTAACTGAACTGAGGTGGCTGGACAGAGTTTTTTACTAGCACCTGAGTTTTGGAGGGTGCAATGAGCAGCTTGTTGGCAGATAAGCAGAGGTGTATAGAGGTTTTGGGGCTCCACAGTGCCCACTTTGAGCTCTTAGCTCCTCCAAGGATGATCATTGCCTGAGGGTTTCTCAAATGGAAAAGCAAACTGGGAAGAATATTTTCCACAGCTTGGCAGGTGCCCAGCTGCACACCGGGAGGTAAGGGCTGGACGTGGTGTCTGAGGCTACTAGAGTCATTGTCCCTGCTAACAGCCTATACCTGTTCCTCTGTGTTGCACCCAGACTCCTGACTCCCACTCCACCTGCTCCTTGCTCTGCCCAGTAGGCACTGGCTCTGACCCAGTCCTTTGCTCTCCAG